ATGCGGTTCTGATTGACTGTACTTTGGGAATGATCCTGTTTGCTCCGTTCTTCCCTTTAAAAAGAGAGAGGCAGGGACAGAAAAGGATTGTAGTTCTCCTTCCTGGCCTTGAGACCTATTCTACTCTTGAAGTTTATGCTTGGAGCACTTTACAGGCACACTGATATCCTTGCACACATAAATGTACCAGCAGGGATACACTTTGTGTGACTGATTCACCTGTTGTAACCAAACCCAACCTGTATTGAAACAAAGGCACATTTCTTTTTTTTTTCCTTGTGTAACTTTGTCTTTTCAACTGTGCAGCTTACCCTTGTGTAACATTACAGAGGGTGCCTGGTTGGGGGTGTCACTTTCTTGCCAAAATATGGCCATGCCGAGGTAGATCTGTTATCTAAAACTGCACCAGTGCATAGATTTGGCTATAAGCAGTGTGGAGTTTGCAGTACTGTGTGATTTTGCTGGGAGGGGACGTAGGATGTAGCAGCCTTTTTGCTTACCAAGGCTGGATTGTGAACTGAGCTGGACTGTGGGCTCTAGTGAAAGCAACGGGCTGAGCACACGTGTTCTGTACGTGTGAGCAAGAATTGGGAGTGGATATAACGGAGAATGCCATTCCTTATTGGAAAGCATTGCCTTTTGCAGCTTCTCTGTTGGTGTTACCGTTCTGTTTAGTGCTATTTCACAGACCATAAAGTGCAGCTCCTCAAAATGTCATGTGAAAGAGGGTGTGCTCCCCCAAGATTTTTTCCTGTGCTTGTCTGAGCGTGGATACTGTGCTGAAAGTATGTTCTTTTCCCAGGCAGGAATGAGCCACATGGGAATAAATTAGGATACTTGTGTCCACGATGTCCTGGTTGTACTTCCTTTGACTTGAGCTTCATCCATATGCAGGAGCTTTAAGAGAGGCTTAGGGCTTGTGCTTTCTCTCTGGGCAGGAGGTTGAGCTCTCAGCAGGATCTGTGCCTGGAGAAGCAGAGCTGCTCCTGTTGGGAGCCTGTCTGTCCACCCCGAGCACTCCATGGGGATGGTGGTGTTCCTCTGGGTGCACGGAGGGAGACCACCTTCCTCAGGAATATTCAGCAGTAGGGAACACCTTCTCATCCCCAGAATTACCAGCCTTTGACCCTGCATAGGAAGGGGTCATAGACTCTAAGGTCCAAATTTTTCCCTTTTTCACAGACTGGGAATTTAAATCAGATGCACAAACTCAGGCAGCGGGAATTGTGCTGGTGCCCTCTCAGGGAGGGACATCAGTTTTGCTATCACAGTTTATTCACACCTTAGCTGGCCTGCAACTTCCTTGTGTAGCTGAGCAAATTTATGGATCTAGCTAACCTTAGCAAAATGAGCGAGGTGCTTTTCATCTGAAAGAGTAGACCACATACAGCCTTTTGCACTTGTTTGTCTACGTTTGCTTAAAGTTAACCTGTTGAGTTATTCTGGAACAAAGTGCTTGGTCAAAGAGGAGGCACTTGCATTGATTTGGAAATGGATAACGCTAAGTTGGTGCAACCCGTTTAGGAGAACATGAGTAGGGGAGGAGCAGTGGTCCCAAATGGGAGGGCAGCAAATTACTGCTCCTCTGTCGGCTAAGCTGCAATAATTAACTTGGTGGGTGGGTGTGTTTACTCTGCCCCATTACCAAGTATAACGTTACTGTGGCTCAGCTAACAAGGAGTATATTTATGTCATGGTAATTCAATCACTTTCATTTCATTGTTCATCCCCTTAAACTAACTTGATTGTCATATATTGATTTAGGTAGCCTCGGCTTGGGAAACTTACAGTGCTGTAGCTGTAAACCCAGAGCATGATTTAAACCAGTGGCAGCTCATCTGTTCTTACTACACTTGTAATGATTTTTATCCTAAAACAAATCTGTTCTTTTTCAAAACAGTAACTTTAATCATTTTAATATATAAAATAAATACTAAAATTGAGTAGGAGACAGTGTTGGAGCATGAGAAGTGCACAAAGGAGGGAGTCTGTTGATGAAGGAAGGTATTTTCTCTAATGAATCACTTTGATGGTTCTGCTACGTACTGTGAAACGCTTCTAGCAAGTTAACATACGGGTCTGTGTCTGTTTGTTAGAAGTCTGTCCCTCTGTTGATGCTTGCATAGAGCTGCCCATAAGGATAACATCTGTAGCACTTGTAAATGATATTAATAATGTTGATATATAGCCATGCAGTACTGGTGATGCAAGGGAGAATTGAAGTGTAGGTTATTAGGTACACGGAGCAGAAAACAATCCTTCAAAGAGGTAATACATAGGAATTGAATGCTGTTTATAAAGGCTCTATGTTTTATACTGTGCTCAGAATACTTTTTGTACTTAGTTTCAAAGAGGAGGTAATCTTCCTGTTATACGTAGCCTCTTAAATTCAGTTGGAAGTGGAATTTGGCTGTATCTAAAACCCCCTCCCCAACAGGTGTCATGAAGGACCTCTTGGGTGTTGTGGTTTATCTTTTAGAAACGTGTTTAAAGAGCTCGGCAGTACGGGGAATGGGATAGAGCAGATGGCAGCTTTAGCTTTGCAGTTTCTTCAGATGACAATGAGCATTGTACTTAAAGTGTTTCCAGAAACCTAAGTTATGGTATTTGAACACCTTGTAAATGCAGGTTCCTCTGTGTGTTTGCTTTTTTCCTTAAAATTTGGTATAACCATAACACTAAGGAGTTCATGTATAACTGCATGGGAAAAGACTAATGACTTGTAACTAATTGTAGATGGTAGTGGAAATATCGCTATCCCTATTTCACGAGTGGGGACCTGACAGGCCTACACTGTGGGATGTCAGCATCCTGTTCTGTAGCTACCTTTTGTACCTCTTTGCAGGTATAGCAGTAACTCGGAGATGCTCTGTCCAGCAGGGAAGTGTCTTGGGTTTTTTGTTTCTGTTTTTTACCTTTTCTTCAAAAAATAACTTTCTTTTTTTTGGCAATCAAAATCCAGAAAAAGAAACAATCATAACAAACCTGTTGTGGAAAGACTATGTGTGATTTATTCCCTACGTGCTGAATCAAAGTGAGTGAGTTTGAGGGGTTTTTTCTTATACTGTAAAAGCATACAGAGCACCATATGCTGATTAAAATGGGACGGGCAGACTCTTTTTCAGAACACAAATGTTTAACTGTGCAGATCATATCCTTTAAAAAGCAGAAAGAGAGAACCCTGGGAGGGTGTAGATGTACAATAATCCCATTAGGAGTTCTGAAGTCTGAGCAAGTGTTGCCACATTCTGCTTTAGTGGGTGTACCTAAATGTTTCTGTTGTGCACGTATCCTCTGAAACTTGGGTCAGTGCCAGAGTATGGGGTTTTTTGGTGGTTTGGTTTTGTTTTTTAAAATTAACTGAAATACGTTTTGCTGACCTGAAATCAACAAAAGTGATTTCTGGAGTCACAGGATGAATGGACAGTTGTATCATGCACTGGATAAGTCATGTTTGGAGACGTTTGGCTGTAAAGTGATAGATGAACTGAGGGGAATTAGGAGACAGAGTGCTGAAGGAGGTGGGTTGTGGTACTGACCTGCGCTGTGATTATTTTTAGTTTTTCTTTTTAAGAGCATTGCATCTTGCCAATTTGTGCCTCTTTCTCCCTTCCTTGGCCAACCATCACGTAAACATGGAAATTCCTCTTCTTGACTAGGCTGCACTTTATCTTTGTGTGGTGCTTTAGGAAAAGTGATGAAAGAACAAGATCTCCATGCTCTTGCACACCTTAGGCTTGTGCAATAGGATTTCTCCAGCTGGGATCACGTTCTGCAGCAATCCTGCAGTGAGAGGATGTATCTCCAGGGCCTGGGTAGCATTGACTAGATCAGCTATCAGAGCTATTGTAACTGCAACAATGGGAGCATCCGCAAGTCTGATGGGCCTGAATAGACTCTCCAGCCCCAGATACCTAGCACTTAACCTCCTTTGTCGTTTTATCTGTCCCTAATGGACAGCTAGAGAAGGGGCTGACCAAGGCAGAGGGGCCAAAAAGTGTGGAGAAGTGTAATTTGTTTCTGTCTTTGTCTAAACCTTCCTTAGAGATTTATCTTGATTGACCAATTAGTTGTATCTTGTAGGCGATAAGTCTGCAAAACCCTCTGTGGAGAGGAGCTGAGCCGCAAAAACTGTGCAACTTATCGAGAGGGGAAAGTTGCTTAGCGCTGTGCAGGATGGGGCTTGAAGTGGTTACTGAATCACAGAGGAGGACTGAGCTGCTGTCTGTGTTGTGGTTTACACCGTAGTTCCAATGTGCCTTCAGCCACGTTCCTGCCTCCTCTAAGGTCTCCTGCCCCCCTCTCCTGCTCCTGACATGTTGGGAGCTTGCATGGTATGTGGCTCTGTGCCAGCACCTTTGCAGCTTCCTTTTTGCCTAATGTCCAAGGCAGCAGGGCTTCTGCTGCACATGGGCTTTTGGGGACTGCGGTAACCCCTACATGTGCTAGAAATTGCCAAATAAGCATTCAGTGTGTTATGCTGCACTAGGTAAGACGGAGTATATGCTCAGAAGTAGGTTCACCTTCTTTCCTTTCTCTGTAAACCTGATGTCTGTCTTCTCCCTGGCTTTTCCTCTGATGATGAGATGTTCAGGGTTTAACCCTGTGGGTCATGCAAGGTAACTTCATCTCATCTCCACCTTTCCCCTCTAGGAAGAGATGGCACGAGCAGACTTTGCCCGGGCATGTGATTCTCCCAAACACTTTTCCTTTCTGTGCCAAATCTCAGTTATGAAAGTGAAGGCTGAACCAGCCCAACACTGTTTTGTTTTTTGTTGTTTTGTTTTTTTTTTTCCATTGCCATAAAGGTATGTTTGGTGTTTTATTGTTGTGAGAGGCACAACCACTAGCATTTTCCTGTGAAGCACCTACCCGTTCCCATCCTGTTGATGTGGCTCTGTCTTCCCAGAGTGTCGCTGTGCAAGCCACCAGCTGCTTTATGTTCCTAGATGCTTATTTCCACTGCTACAACTAAGCGTTTGTTAACATTTTCATTATAGGTCACCCAGTTAATTTGCTGAAGTACTTCCTGGAAGAATTTTTGCAAGTGCAGTTCACTTTGTTTCAGAAATCTCAGTCCAATCCTTACTGCAGAGTCAGGTCTCGGAGCTGGCTGAACTTCTCCAGTCAAGAATCCAACACAGAGTAAGCTTTTTAACCACTCGCACTTTTCCTACCTCCTGTTAGCCTTGTTAACAAACCTGTGTGTAATTCAAAAGCTTGCAAAAAACCAGCATATCTCCTAGTTCAAATCTGCCTTCATGTTTTCAGAGAACCACAAAATATAGGTTCAGAGGTCATTCTGTCCTCCCCACTCCAAAACAAGATCATCTATACCTAATCCATTACCAAGGCCGGTTATTTAAATTGTTCTCAAAAGCAAATTTAAATCCTTGAAAATGAACTTGTTATAGTGTGAAACATCACTCCCTGCACTTGAAACCGCAGCCTTTAGAAAGCATTTGAGCCCCATATGATTTGCGTGTTGCAGGAGGTATGTGACATGGCATCTAAATTCTTGCTCAGACTTGATCAGAAGGTGCTTCCTGTGGCATTAGCAACTTGGTGAGAGAAATACTCTGGCCTGTAATTATCAGAAAGACCATTGTTTCATTTGAGGTGCCTAGAATAGTGCTTATAACAGTCCCCAGTGCTTTTATAGTCAAGATAAAGTGACTTTTGGGAACCCCTGAGTTTGAAAGCATGATGTGAGACATCTTAAAGCAGCCTGATTTGCAGTGAGCACCGAGTATGCATCAGAACCGAAAGCCCTTGAAATTACCAGTTACTTCTGGCTGATTCTTATCTACTGGTTAGGAACCCACAGACTCCTTACTGAGGAAACACCTGCTCTTATAATAGCCAAGGAGAGACCAAGGGTGGGAAATCCATCTGCATAATCTGATAAGCATTAAACTAACCAAGTCAAAAGCCAAGGAACTGACTTAATCTTCTGTGATCTTTTCCCCTCCCTCATGCGGAGGTAAGTTAAGGACACAGTTGCATCTCCCAGTCTCAGGATGTTATTGGGGCTGTGCTCAAAATAACATGCATGAAAAGCAAATTTCTGATGTGTGGAATTAATGTTGTGGGAGACAACGAGGACGGCTGAATGGACTTTCAGAGTGCAAAGCTGCAGCGTGTCGTGAGGGCACTCAAGCCAAATTCCCTTTTCCTGCAGTGAAGCCAGGTGCAAACACATCACCCCCAGGTCTTGAGGGGGTGGCATATTGTGTGTAGTGTGTGTGTCTGCCAGGGCAGTGTTGGCTGATAAAGCAACTCGTCTGTCCTCGAGTCTTGGTCTCAAATCTCATGTCCCTTGTGTTTGAAGAGACCATCCCTGCTGACATGGAGTTAGTAGGTAGTGAAAGCTGCCTGAAATTCAACTCCTGTATGGGGCTGTGAAGGCAACGGAAGGCAGAGTAGGAGCAAAAGGAGGACATCCACCAGCTTTGTTTCCTTCTGAGGAGCCTGGAGGAGTGTTGGTGTAGCCCTTGCTTTCTACAGCCATAGAATGAAATGGGTACAACCCTCAAGTAATAATCTTATCTGACTTTAAGGTTGTGTTGAGGTGCTGCAGTGCACTAAACGTCTCCTGCAGTTCTAAGACAGTCTGGGCAAGATGATCATGGGCCTGCTGCTTCTCTGAGATATGGGGAGTAGCATATGGTGGCAAAAGCTTCCAGTTACTGCTGCTGTCATGAAAAAGGGACCGAGTGTCTGCTTTGGTGGTTGCAAGAAGCCTGTGCGGGGGAGTAATGCTTGGAGGAGCAGCAGCGTGAGGATGCCTGCTCCAGCTGCCCTGCTGTCTCAGCATGGTTCTGGCTGCTGGCTTCATCCAACCTTCAGAAAGGCTCAGTCGCTGCCTTTCTTGCCTGTGAGAGCTGCACTGCTTCTGAGGGGCTGTTCCTCTGATGGGCTGGCTACTGAAACCAGGGCCAGGTGTTGGTCAGGGCTCTGCTGCAGCCTTACTGGGTGGCCACGGGCAGGTCACATCACGGTGTGAAGCATGAGGTGTGAGTGTCAGCTTTTCAAGGCAGGAACAGGGTCTTACTGTGTGTCTGCAGAGTGCCAAGTACTGAGGGACCTTGATCTCTGCACAGCTTCCATGTGCTACTGTAACGTAAATAATTATGTGGAGATAATGATGAGGTCAAGGAATGTCTCTTAAACTTGATAATTTTCCCTGATGGGAAGATTTATATTGCTGTTTCTGGCTGGGCTGGATTTGTGCCAGTTTTTGATCAGTGTCCAAGAAGCCACGCAGAAATACTATACCAAGGGGGAGGGAAGAAAAAAAAAAAAAAAGAAAGAGTTGCTGGGCTCACATGCTACCATAAAGCTTGCTACCTTCTAATTTTGCAATCAAAACAAATACCATCCTGTACTGCGTGAAGAGCAGCAAGGGAGTGAGCCATCCGTTAAATGTTCGGCCCTGCCAAAGGAAGTGGCAGAACCGTTAGCTGAAGCAGCAGGCTCGCTGGCACAGCGCGCGCTTCGTGGGGCTTTATAGCTCCTTTTAAAATAGCCTCCACCACTGCAGACAGTCTGTGGGCTGCATCAGCTGAGTAAAATGTTATCCTGCTAGTACAGGGAATTATTAACATGTTTTCTCCGTGCCAACAGTCTCTCCGCCGACTGACCCGTGCAAGCAACTCAATGAAAGAACAGTTTAAAAAAAAAAAACAAACCAACAAACAAAACATCCTTCCAACTTCACTGGTTTTTTGGGGGTTTTTTTGATGGCTGGTTTGACTGGGGGATGAGCCAAACCCTGTAGCTTTGCTGGATGCCACACTGAGGTTGCAGCTTAGCACAAAAGAACAGACTTGAACTCCAGAGAAGCAAGAATTATTGGAGAGTTTGGGTTTGGGTTTTGCTTTTAATTATTGTCTCAGACTGGGATGAGTAAGGAGGAGGAGAAATGCAGAGTGTGGGAAGCGGTGTGCGTTCTGCATGTATGACAGCGAAAGGGTGTACTTTAATTTTGGAATATCAGAACTCTACATGTGCAGCCAGAAAAATCAAGAAAAGCTTCTGTTACTTGAACATTACAGATCTGAGGAATAAAATAAGTAGTAATTTAAAAATTGCAGTTTAACAAGTTATTACTCTGGGGCTAAAAGAAGTCCAGCCTTGGGCCCTCACTGGAAGATGCACAAGGTATTTGTGCCAAGGCTGGTTTTGGCAGTCTTCATCCCAGGGTTGGACAGTACCTTGTACAGGGATGTCCTGGTTCACAACTGGGCTCCCTAATGATTTAAATGATTATTGATGCTAATACAATTTCAGTAGATGCTGAAGTGCTTAAACTAGAGCTGTGTATTTTGATTCTACTCGGAGTTTTGGGACAGTTTGTGTAACCTTGCTTGTTTTTTGTGTGTGTGAGGCTACTTAACTGTTGTGTTGGATGATTTGTGTGGTAAGATGGCAGATGGTCATGCCTCTCACTTTCCTCATTTGATAACTGAGGTCTGACAACTGATTTCTGAGGCAGGACTGTGGCCTCTCCGAATTCAATGTCATACACTTTTGGACATTCCAAAGCATTTGCACCCTCATCTTCTAAATTCCTCATAATCCTGCTTTTTATGTTCTTAAACAGAATATTATTTTGAAACTTTAGAAATAAAGGAACAGATATAGAAACAAATTTTTAACTTTAAAAAAAACTGAGGAATGATCTGATGTCAAAGCGGCTTCCCCAGCAAATGATGAGGGACCTGATGGACCAAGGGTTAATTATGCAGCAATGAGGCACATGCATGTTAAAGCTGCATTTATTCTGGGAAGAGACACTTCCAGTGCTGCTGAGAGAGCCCTGGTAGCTGTTCCTGGCTTTCAGCTGCAGGATCCAGTGTTTAAATGACAGTGCTGTTAAGAGGTTTGAGGTTTGTAGCCACTTTTCGTTGTAATAACCAATGAGTTGGAGCATGCAAGTTAAAGAGCTGTCAGAGGACTGGCGGAGTTGGCTGTCATGATCCTGCCCCTCCTACTTTTGGTAATGTTCTTAATTAAAATCCTTTTGGAGTTGTGTCACTGATGACTGTTACATGCTTCTCTTATGTGGACTGTGCAAGCCTTGTTTAAGCTTGATGATCAAAACGTGCATATGAAGAGGCAGTGCGTGTCCCGGGCTGCCTGGGTGGAGCAGATGAAGACAGAAAGGAACTATTGCTATCTCCGTGGCACAGATGAGGAGCTGTGGTGTGAAGATACTGAGCACCTTGGCTAAGGTCAGAGAAGGAATTTGGGGGAGGTAGGACCTAGATCCGTGTTTTCTGAGTTACAGTTCTGGGATTTGATAAAAATTACCTTAAAAAATATCCTTATTGAAGCCAGTTTGACAGTAGGAAGAAATCAGGAAATTTAAATGAGAAGAGAATCATTTAGGTTATTTAGAGAGAAGAGCTGTGGTGTGAAGATACTGAGCACCTTGGCTTAAGGTCAGAGAAGGAATTTGGGAGAGGTAGGACCTAGATCCGTGTTTTTTGAGTTACAGTTCTGGGATTTATTAAAAATTACCTTAAAAAAATATCCTTATCGAAGCCAGTTTGACAGGAAGAAATCAGGAAATTCAAATGAAAAGAGAATCATTATACTTAACGTTAGGTTATTTAGAGAGAAGACTTAAGTTACACTGCATAATTCCAAACTTGTGACTGAAATGCTCTATAGCAGTAGGAATTGCTCTCTGTGGGCGTTTTATTTCCTGTCAATCTTGCATTGGATTCAGGTTGTTAATCAAGAAGACAGCAAACAAAATGCTTCAGTGGTGGTCACCAGGGGCCTGCAGTCAGTGTTGCATGCACTTGGATGATGGCTTTGGGGTCTGAAATCTACAGAGAGAGCTGTCCAGAGCAAGACTGAGTGAAACTTCCCAGTTAGCTTTTTTTTCTTCTTCTTAATTCTTTGTCTTCCTCCCCCGGCCTTGATCTGAAGATTGCATTTTGCAATATTTCTGCTGCTGCTTTGAGTTGATGGGACATCAGGAGAAAATGTTCCCCTGATTTCTTCCAAATCTGAAATCCCAAGCAGCATCCTAGTTTGGAAATTCTTTGCCCAGAGGATGCCAGCCATCCCTCTTGGCTGCTTGCTGATCATCCTGCCTGCCATCAGCAGCATGACCAGTGGGGAGCAGACGCTGGTCCTTCTTGATCTACTAAGCTGGACTCTTGAGTTATCAAAGAATAGAGACCAGAGTAATGATTCTTTGGGTCCTTATTCTTTATTTCTCTATTTCCATATACATGGCACAAAAAAGTCCTACGGTCATCTCTGCCTTTTCCTATATCTTTGGGATATAATGGGTCTCATGAATCCCTCTTGGCTGCTTGCTGATCATCCTGCCTGCCATCAGCAGCATGACCAGTGGGGAGCAGACGCTGGTCCTTCTTGATCTACTAAGCTGGACTCTTGAGTTATCAAAGAATAGGGACCAGAGTAATGATTCTTTGGGTCCTTATTCTTTATTTCTATATTTCCATATACATGGCACAAGAAAGTTCTATGGTCATCTCTGCTTTTTCCTATATCCTTGGAATATAATGGATCTCATGAACGGATGGCAGTAGAGTCATAACTGGTCTTGTCTGTTCCCTGCACGCATAAGCACTCACACACAGATTTGTTTTAGGTTTTTAACACTTTCATTTTTCCATAGAAGCATGATAAAAAGTTAACTATATAATTAACTCTAAAAAAAAAATAAACCAGATCTGGTTTGTGGAGCCAGGAACACCTGAGAGCCAAGCTGAATGATGGCTGTGGCACCCAGAGCACCAGCCGTTATATGGCATGGGTCCCTGTGCCACAGCATTGCCAGGGTGTTCTCCTTGTTACGCAGCTGGCCTCCAGGATCCAGATGCCTCCAATACTTGGGCAAGTCTGGGAAGACCAATATTTAAACATCCCTCTCTGCTGCAAGTCTGTTTATGTTTGTACACACCTATTTTTATAAAATTCCCTCAAATTAGGTATGCGTTTGCTTTTTGATATCATCTAATCAGCAGCTCAAAGAGTAAGTTGATGTTCTATATTTAGTCCAGATATTCAGTAGAGATGATTAGGGATGTATCAAAGAAGAGGTGGGTTGTTTTTTTTTCCCTAGGATTTCTTAATGCTCCCTCCTTCTTCCTGGATTACTGCAGCTTCTGTCTCTGCACATGTTTCTCTATGCAGGCAAGAAGCATATGTCAGTGAGAGTATTTGTGTGGCTTTCTGAACGTACTTGAAATAATTTGCCTCTAGAAAGTGATTGTGGTCTGTTTGCCATGAGAAGAGTAGCTGCAGTCCTGATGCGAATTGAAATATCAAATGTTTATGGAAGATGACATAGCAAAGCTGTTTACCATATGGTATACAAGACACAGTGATACTAGACCATTTTTTTTCCCCTGGAGTTTGTTGGGGAAAAAAACAGAATACAGTTATGCAACTTGTGTAGTCTTCTGGATTTTATATGTGCCTGTAAGAGAGACCGTGACAGTGCTCGCTTAGCCAGGTCATAGGATACAAGTATAATATTATTCTTTATATTGAGCCTGTGTCTTGAGGCTTCCTTACGCAACTGAGGGCCCAGTCAGGTATGTGTAAGGGTAATAGTAAGATGTTTATGAGATTCAAAGTGCAGATCTCTTCCAAATTAGGATGTTTCTGGTGACACCTTTCATTCACAACTGTTCAGAGCACCTTCCTCTGCTGCTTCTTTTATTTCTCTGGATCAAGGTCCTCTGAGAGCTGTTATCCACCCTTGATTATGGGATTTTAGATTAACTATTGTAGAGACTTGTAAGCTGACTTGGTGCTGGCAAGCATGGGTCTAATGACAGTGCAGTTAAGTTTCTGTGGAGCTGCAAGGTATGGATTTACTAGCTCAGATCAGCACATTCATGGAAACCTCTGCGTTACATCCTAACTGTGTTCCCTGATAGTATTTTTATGCTGCCCCATGGGTTTTCTTCTCACAAGGATGCTCTCTCAGCCAGATACAGCAAGAACTAGTTCTGTGAAGCTTACTGGCTTTCTGCAAGCTTTGAATTTGAGAGTTGCTTTTCCACTGTCTCTTGGGTTTTGAACTGTGCCCATCATCAAGATAAAGTATGTTACAAGGGAACAAAGCAGATGGAGTGAAGGGCTTGAGTTAAGACATTTCTGCTGATTGAACATGCCAACTTTAAGTCAGTATCTGTATTTACACATTGTCCTCTTCTTCTCATTTGATCTAGGTTGTATGGTTGGACCCTGGAAATGGGATGTCAGTCCCGTTCAGGGAGCATAAAGGAAGAAAGAAAATCTCCCAGTCGCTGCTGCCGTGACAGCGAGTGAGAGCAAGAGCAGGAAAATGTCGACAGTCACATCAGCAATCCAGGCTCCTCAGGGCCCTGTGAATCCGCCGCCTCCGGAGGTCACTAATCCTAATAAGCCTGGCCGGAAGACCAACCAGTTGCAATATATGCAAAATGTTGTGGTAAAGACCTTGTGGAAGCATCAGTTTGCTTGGCCTTTCTACCAACCTGTTGATGCAATTAAATTGAATTTGCCGGTAAGTATCTATCATCTTCTGCTCGGTATTCTGTTCCTAGAAAGCTTTGTGTTGGTGAGATCAGTTTTCTGATCACTGGATCAGAATGGTTAGGTTGCTTTGGGGAATTTCCTCGAGTCCTCTTAGACTCGCTGAATTAGAAGATGATGTCTTTGGGAGCTGGAGAGGTGCAGGTCTCGGAAGGGAAAAACTACTTCTCACTTAGTGAAGGAAGAGAAGAGCATACAGGCAAGCTGTCCCAGAGCATCTGAAGCATAGTGCTTGTTTGTGGCTTGTCTCTGGTTACTTCTCAGTGTCTTCACCCCTTACCCCAACTCTGTCCAGTTTGAGTGAGGGCCTTGAAGCCCACACTCTTCTCAGCATTTGGCATTGGGCTCAATGTAACTTGGTTTTCCAATAGGCTTTCCTTGATTTGCTGTTGAATTCAGGTTGAGGAAGACAGGAGAAGCTAATTACCAAGGATACTCTGAAGCTGGATATTTTCTAATGCTGTATTGGAAGTAGAAATAACAGAACAGTTGCATCTACCTCCTGTGCTTGATGATATATTCTGTCAGACAAGATAGTACAGGATATAGCCTGGTTATTCATAAATGAACAAAATTTACTAAGCTGCTTTCTTCCAGGAAACAGAGCCACACACTCTTCATGTCTCTCCACATGCTTTGCTCAGCCAGGCAGCCCCTTGTGGATTAACTCTGGCTGCTTTGAGCAAGAGGGTTGCATGTAGGATCTGAGGGAGCGTGGTTCTGGGGTGTAAGGTCAGGAGACCTCTAGTTACTGCAGGTTATAACCCAATTTTATGGACTGGACCAGGAGTCTTTTGAAGTCTATAATGTTGTTGATGGGTACTATTTAAAATGTTGGCCAACACTAAAGCACTTAATGCCTGTATAGTATTTCTCCAGGTCTGTGTTCCTTTGTGTCTTTTTGTGGGTTTAGTTTCTCAGTGAGGCATTTTGAAGTGGTTTTAGGGCAGATTACCAGAAAATTTAAAGGAGGAGTCAGTTGGAAGAATAGTTGTTTTTCAGGTGTGCTCTAAATCTGAATAAGTAGCCAGCAGGATTGCCTTTTTTGCCCTCACCTGGAAATGCTGCTGTCTCGGGTCGTGCTGGAGGGCTGGGCTCAGAGCGTGGCCAGTGGCCGTATGTGGCTTCGTGTGCACATGCAGCAAGAGGGCTTCTGCTTTTCTCCAGAATGAGAAAATTACAGCGTACAACCTGGCACGCCTGCAGCGTCTCCAGGCTAATCACAGCCTCTAGAGATGCTCCAGACCAGCCCAGAGAGAAACTGGGTTAACATGTGCAAGCCTCTTCAAAATAGAGACTCAAAATTTTAGCACAGTCTTAGCTGGTGCTGGCTCTGAATTTCTGTGAGTGCTAGAGGCAGCCTTTTAGAAAGGGAGGCAGAAATGCTGTTTCCCAGACTGCAGCCAGTTGGCCATTGAGCTGAACACCCTGCCAAAGCCCTGCTGGCCCTGCTGCCATGACTTTGGTCCCACAGGGGCATGAAGAGCATCGTTTCATGTCAGTCTAGCTGTCAGCTGTGACACCCATCCACCCTACGGCACCTAGGGCCTCCTAAGAGGTATCAGGGCTCCAAACAGCTTCCAGGGAGAATTGCTCAAAAAGCATATTTTCCTCCACATACTGCGGTTACCACCTTCCCAGTCCAGCCATCCTTACAAATGTAAACATATATAATGTCTGAGGAGCCATTTGTGTTTATGTTAGAGTATCTATCAGGGGGAGTTGTGGAAAGTTGGTGGTTGTGGAAGGAGTTCTGGTGCTTTGTTGTCAAGTTCATAATAATAATAATAATAGACTAAAAGGCTACACATCAGAAAATAAATGAAAGTAAAGATGATACTTGCACCAAAAAAATGGGGATGTGTTTTTGGGGAGGAGGAATGAAGAAAATAAATGAAAGTAAAGATGATACTTGCACAAAAAAAATGGGGATATGTTTTTGGGGAGGAGGAATGAAAAGTGGGACTTAAAGGGAGGTGGGAACAATACTCTTTCTACATATCAGCAGATGTAATGTCTTTGCTGTTTCTCCAACAGGATTATCATAAAATAATAAAAAACCCCATGGACATGGGAACGATCAAGAAGCGCCTGGAACATAACTATTACTGGAGTGCCAGTGAATGTATGCAGGATTTCAACACCATGTTTACAAATTGTTACATTTATAACAAGGTAAAGAGCCCAGACAAGCCTCTAGCTGGGGCACTGCCTAGAAAAGACCCACCTATGAGCCTTATAGTGCAGGTTTTGAGCAGAGCCAGCTCTGCTGTGCTCCGGGCCCTCCTTGCAAGGATTTGAAATGCCACTAATTGCAACCACATTACTTGAAATGCACAAAGCTGTCTTTGTGCTGGGTCTTTCTTCCCCCAGACTAGTTAAAACGGCAAATGTGCCTTTTAATTATAGATAGATTTCTGCTTTGGGGTTATGTAGCAAGTTTTTACTCCTTTTTATTTCCAGTTAGGAGTTCTTTAAGATGAGTTAAAGTTTGTGCAGTGCTTTGTGGGTGCTACGTGGGGTGTTAGTGCTGTGTGTTACACAGGCTGTCTTACAGTAAAGAGTATCTCTTAGCAGAGAGCAGTTCAGGAAGTGTAACTTGGTTCTTTGCCTATGTCTTGTCCTTACTTGCACACCTTTAGATTGCTTATTATTATTTTGGGTTTGGCTTGTCTGCTGTTTTGTTAGGTTATTAAAAGCCTGTATTGTTTGTATTATGTTTTCTACAATGGTTTGTCATCATTGACCCATACTGGAGAACAAGCTGAAATAAACAAATTAATTAGTTTGAGCCACAGACTATGTGTTTACACTCTTCTCTTGGACCTGCTGGCAAGCAGAGGAGGACAACTCATCTGTTCCAGTTTGCTGCTTCCACACTGTTGCACAGGATGCTAGTTATCAGGCTCCTGCTGGAAGTCCTGATAACTCTCTGAATGCAGGGTACTCAGAGGCTGTAATTATTGCATGCTAGAGCAGAACAGAAGAGCAAGAGGGTCGCATGCAAGGAGGGAGAAGAGCCAGTCTGTTTATTGTTGGAGCTTGGATACCATCATTTATTTGAAGGGCCGTGTCACTGGGCATTTCAAAACCTGATCTTGAACTTCTCTGCTTCAAATATGTGGATAATACAGCGTGGGCTTCCATTCTTCTTTCTGCAGCCCACAGACGACATCGTCCTCATGGCCCAAGCCCTGGAGAAGATATTTCTGCAGAAGGTGGCCCAGATGCCTCAGGAGGAAGTCGAATTATTACCCCCAGTTCCTAAAGGCAAAGGTCGCAAGCCGTCAGCGGGCACACAGGGTGCAGGTAATAACCCCATCCAGTGACAGGGAATGTTACAAACCTGTTGCTGAGGCCTGACCCCCCTTCCGAGCTGGCTGGCTTTGCAAACAGTGAAGATGGTAGGAAAGAGGCATGTAGTCGAGTGGTTAAAGCAGCAGAGGAGGGTGTGAGATGTCTGGATAAGGTTCACCCAGTGTTTCAGGACTTGCCTGTCTTAACACCACTTTGCATTCATCATACAAATGTGTTACTGTCTGTGACTTGTCCATCCGTGCAGCGCTTCAGTGAGGGAGGGCAGTACTCTTGCTTCCTGTATGCAAAGAAGAAACCAAGGCCAGAAGAGGCAAGGTAGTTAGGCCATGGCATGGAATGCTGGTGTAGACCTGGATTTATGCAGCTCACCTGAGGTCCTGGCAAAACTCTGACACAGCAGAGACTTGGACTTAAATCTTGTCAATCCCCTAAACACCATATAACATTTTTCTTTTGCACGCATGGTTGCAATATCATAGAATAAATTTTTATCAGCAGAAAGGATTTATTAAGCCATTGCAAAAGGCTGTGTAGACAACTGTGTATCAGTAGTAGCTAAGTTCAGTTCAGCTTACTTAGAGTTGATTTTAAATGAATTTAGGACTAGAATGTCTGTAAGCATGGTAAAACAGTTCATAAAGGAGTTTGTGTGGGCTGAATTAAACTGTTGCATTTTTTTTTTCTATAAACAAGGTCTAACTGTTGCTCTGGGAGAGTCAACTCTTCCTCTTTGTCTTCCCGCAAGTCAGGTGCCAAATGGAGCTACAACTTCATCCAAGATCAGACAAATTTGTGATGATGTGTCTTTTCAGCATCCTTTGATAAAAGCTGCTATAAAAACATAGAGGACTATTGCTGCTTTGCTTGTTAGTAGATTTGTCCCCCTTGACTTCACACTAGTAGGCAGTTCTTTAACAGGTTTAGCATAAGAGACATTTGCCTGGCTATCGGGAGACTTAGGCTCTACTCCCAGCTCTGTTTCTTTTGCTGAATAACTTGTGGCAAATCTGAAGTGCTTTGGCAGTAGGGGGAGTGGATGTTACCATTTGTCATGCAGAGTGAAAACACTCCCAGATAGAGGTCTGTGCAGGACAGCACTGTCCAAAAGAGCTGTCTCTGTCCATTCTGTCTCCTTGAGCTCCTCTCTTTTGCTGAGCTCAGGGCAGGTCTCAGAGCACCAGAGGGGTGAAGACTGTCCCAGAGCAACACACCCTATGTGCAACAACAGGGTAGGTTTAGATTGAACATTAGGAAGGAATTTTTCACTGAAAGAGTGGTCGGGCATTGGAATAGGCTGCCCAGGGAGATGGTTGCGTCACCATCCCTGGATGTGTTTAAGGGACGTTTAGATGCGGTACTGAGGGATATGGTGTAGGGGAGGACTTTGTAGAGTAGGGGAGATGGTTGGACTCGATGATCCCAAGGGTCTCTTCCAACCTCAATGATTCTATGATTCTATGATTCAAAGCTTGATGTATTTTGTGCTCATGGTACAAGGACTTAGCTCAGTGGTTTCTCATTTTTTGTTGATCCCTGGGTAACAAAACCAAGCGAATCACACTGTGTCCTCTGTGTTCTTCCTGTGGCCCTGGACTGGGAGCCTTTTGCCGAGCCCATGATGACACAGTCAAGCAGCACTAGTGTCACTTTGTTCCTGATGTCTTGTGGGCACTTCTAACCCTCAGTACATTGCAGCGTGTGTTCACTTTGTCGTTTGAAGGAGCGCAGCAAGCAGTGGCCGTGTCTTCCGTCTCCCCGCCGGCCCCCTTCCAGAGCGTCCCTCCAGCCGTCTCCCAGACGCCCGTCATTGCTGCCACCCCTGTGCCAACCATCACTGCTAACGTCCCGCCTGTCACTGCCCCTCCTGCCGCTGCTCCCCCTCCGCCTGCTGCTCCGATCATGCCCGTGGTGCCTCCTACGCCACCCGTCGTCAAGGTAAATGGAGAACTCGACCCCTTCCACTTCAGAAGGCAGTAATTCTTAGCAGTGCTTTATTATCATCCCCTCACTGCTGGTTACGTGTATCCCTTCTCTTCACGTTTGACTCCTTGCCTCTCTGGCCATCGTTGTCCTTTTGGGGTGTGCTCAAAGTGCTTGTTGTCAAGTTTGAGAGGGTTGAGAGAAGTTTTGCCAGTTTTACCACACCTCAGCTAAGGTGCTGTGGACTGTAATTGCTCCAACTCGGTTACAAGCTCTCATCTGACCACAGCCTGAGCCAGTGCTGATGCTCCATGAAACACAAGGCTGTTGGAGGTTTCCCCTGTTTGGTACCATACAAATCAAAGCATCTCTTCCCTCTGTAGCTGCCCCCCCGATTTCACTGGGGCTGTTCCTTTAAGATTTGCAGACTCCAGCACTAAGAATGTTCCTGTGTCATAAACCAGTTCCAAGACAAGCCTGTCACTCCAGTTGGAGGAGACTGATGTTGCCTGCAGGTTTTGGGTGCATTAGCTCTGTCTTCCTCACTGAGTAATCTTCTGGGAGTTGCCATTGGTGTTTTGCTATTTACTATGCTAATTTATGGGTAAATGAAAACATTGCTCTAAATAATTGGAATTTTCCTGGCAAGCTATATATTGCTTTAAAAATGATGTGTGGCTCAGAGAAAGCTTGCTTTTTTTTTTTTCTTCTCTAAACTGGGAAATGAACTGCTGCAGTGTTGGTGTTCTCTGATGTGAAGTTGCATGGGCCAGCAGAGCCACAGAATTGTTTTGCTTATTTAATCTTACAGTCTGGGAATTACAAGAGAAATTGCAAATCAGGTTTTCTTGCAAGCTAAGCTGTACTATTAAGAAGCCTGTCTCATACTTCGGTTTCTGTCCAAATATCTTGCTTCTGAGAATCAATTTAATTTCAAAACTCAAGGATGAACCCAGAAGTGAGTTTGCCAAATACATACTGCAAAATTAAAAAATTAATTCTGCTTGAGATTTACTTAGGATTTCCCTAAGGAATTTTGTTGGTTCCCCTTTCTCTCTCTCCCCAGAGAAATAAATTCTTCATAGGAGCGTGAGAGCGAGGTGACTGGACAGTCACAGCTTGAACATATGGGAGAGAGGTTTTATTTGCTTAAGGCAAAATTGTGAAATTCTTTCTCTTGTCCATAATAAGCAATCTACCTTAGCACACCCACTAAATACAAGGGAGTTGAGGGCTCATGGGTCTTTGGTGATTAATATGCTTTGGTTCAGAACTTATAGCCTGATCCTGCCACTGGGGACTCAGACATGTGGTTAAGTTACTGACACTTACTAAGTCACGATGCATCAGCTGAGCTGCAGTAATCGACTGGGCGCGCTCCTTTGCCTTGGCGCACACGAGGTAAGAGTCCTTAGTTTAAATCTCAGTGAAATACATAGAGCTAACACATTTTGCATCATGTCTGGGGTTGGGTTGGAGATGTGCAAATGGCTGGTTACTGTGGCTCAGGTGACGTCTAGTAATACATCCTGTTGTGGTCACTGAACTGTGTGTTGAAGCCTCTAGTCGCAAGCCCCGTTTATCCCGGTGAAATGATTGTATTTTCTGTCAGAGGACAGGCAGATTTCAAAAATACGGATGAATTGTGCTAGGTTTCTGCTCGTGTAGCACGAGAGCTGGGTGTGTACTCATGAGGCCTGTCCATCTGCTGTTTCAGAAAAAGGGAGTGAAGCGGAAAGCGGACACGACGACCCCGACCACCTCCGCCATCACCGCCAGCCGCAGCGAGTCGCCCACGCCCCTCTCGGACCCCAAACAGGCCAAAATCATCGCTCGCCGGGAGAGCGGCGGCCGGCCCATCAAACCACCAAAGAAAGACCTTGAAGATGGAGAGGTCCCTCAGCACGCAGGGAAGAAGGGCAAACTCTCTGAGCACCTCAAGTACTGTGACAGCATTCTCAAGGAGATGCTCTCGAAGAAGCACGCAGCCTACGCGTGGCCCTTTTACAAGCCTGTTGATGCAGAGGCCTTGGAATTACATGACTATCATGATATTATCAAACACCCCATGGATCTCAGTACTGTTAAAGTACGTCCACATTTACCACCTCTTTTGCAGGGTGTCACAGCCCTCTGGTTGCAGAGGACTGGCTCCTTCTGGGGGAGGGGGAAGGGACGAGGGTGGAAAACGGAACCTGTTGGATATCATCTGGATTTTTTTTTTATTTTGTTTCCTTCCCCTCTCCTTTTTTTCCCATAACCTGGGATGTCTTTTTTTCTGCCCTGCAAAGCAGATTGTACGATGGCATCCTCTCCTCTTTGTGGATAGTCCAGCTGTTTAAACTTGTGTCCTTGGGATTGTGTTGCACTCTGAGAAGAAGGAGGTGCTGTATTTCATAGGATTTGATTGATAGTGTCCCATTTCCAGAAGCTGCTGCCTGCCTACTTGTTGGCATGATGTGTGGTCCAGATAGGCTTATGCTGAGAAATTCCAACTGGAACATGATGATCATCTGGTACTTGGGAAGGGGAGGAAATACAGTGATGCTTGTGCAGTTCATGCTTGGCTCTTCAAGAGCTTAGCTTAGTACAGTCCAATATTAAAGGTGTTTCTCCCAGTAGACTGAGGTTTCTCTGAATCCTAAATATCCATGGTGCAAAGCTGTGTTTTTTCTAGTTCTCATCTGCTGCTTGTGCGCCGGCCATTGGCATCGGTGTTGGTGGAGGTGAGACTTTCTTCTGTGTGCAGGAAGTATTTCTGCCAGCTTTCCCCAGCATCCCAGAAGTGTTTTGCTGCCGTCTGAGCCAACGACTGGGATTGTCTAAATGCCCAGGTGACAAAAGGGCAGCTGCGTTTGTGATTCCTTTCATATTCCTTGGCAAAAGCTACGTAGTACCTGGAAGCAGTGTGTTGTGCTCTGATGTGCCATGTCATTCAGCTGTGATGCTGCAAGGGTTCTTACTACAGCTGCAATATTTTTACGACTATTTTAGTTGTATTATTTAGTAGTGAAAGAATGGTTGTCATGGTCTGTGCGTTGAGGGTTAGACCAGGAGTTACCAGTGTCTTGACTTCTAATGGCTGTTTTGATGCTGTGATCCTGGGCAAGATTCCCTGCAGTTCTGTGCTGTGGTTTTCCCAGTCATGAAATAGACATGATAATACTTAACCTACCTCACAGGGCTGTTGTGAGGATGGATAGCTGGAAGGCACTGTTTAAGTAATATTATTGATGGGGTTTGTAAAGAAACGGCAGTCTCCAAGTTGGCAAAAGCACTGGAAGTGGGCTTTGGTGAAGTGGGCTTCTCCTGAGCTTGCAGGGCCCTTGTGTTGGTTACAAAAGCCAGTGCAAGGTGCAGTGTTTTTGACTTGCAGTTAAGTTGAGCTGTGTTAAAGTCCCACAGCAGTTTCCTGGGAGGAGAAGAGGGCAAGGCCAAGGATAAGTTGAACTGCAGGCAAGAAGAGGGAACCTGAAATACAGTGGGTGAAAGCAGAAGAAATGGCTAGGTTGAACGTGGTAGTCTGCAAAGCTGGCTGCCTGACTTTAATGTTCTGCTGGCAGCAGAATGTCGCAGTGTTTTCTTGCATAAGTTTCCATTTTCTCTTGCTTCTGAGTGTGGATGAGGAAGGAAGAAGCTCCCCTCAGTTTTGGTACTGGAGTGCATTTGCCATCCTGCTGATTTTGGATGCCCAGTGCCGAAGGCTCACTGAGTCCTCGTACAGTGTTTTAACTCTATGACTTGCTGTCAAGGTCTTGCATTGGAGTTCCTCTTCTCCACCTGCTTGGAGGTCAATCTACATGGCTTGGCCCATGCTTAATCATAGGCTGCATGTCCAAATCTGTTCTAAGAGTCTATAAACAGTAGCTTTAAAGGAATTTCAAAGTATGTTTGATTCATGGAAGTGGCTGAGCTGGGAAGCAGCATCTCTTCCTGAGTGCGACTGTTCTTTTTGTTATCACATCAGAGTGATGAAGTGTTATTAATGGCCTTTGCTCTGCTAGTCTTGTGAAGACAAGTCATTGGATGATCACATCCAGATGAACTCATTCAGTTCCTGTACTGATTCTAGTGGGACTGTCAGTAATGCCTAGTCCTTTCAGACCTATTCTCAGTCATTTTCCCATGTTTTCCTAGGGATGCTGTGGGTCTCAGATACCTGTAGCCTGGTAGGTGAAGCTCTGGGTGAATGCAGTAAGGTCAGAGATGGAGAGAGTGAAATCCTGACTCTGTCAAAGGTGGTATTTCCACATCTGGTTAGGTGGCTTCTTACTGCAAGAGATTCTGTGCTGTATTGTGCAAAATTTAGGTGCAAACCTGTGATTTCTTGGGTTGGTAACTTTTTCACACTTAAATCTCTTTATAGTCCTAACCTCATTCTTTTAAGAGAAGTACATCTCTGCACTTCCTCTGCAAGTGCAGGTGATACTGTCCCTCTGTACTTTACTGGTGTAGGACTGAAAGCTGGAGACTAGCATAGGACAGAAAACTGGTCTCTACTGGAGACCAACTGGAGTCTTCTGCCAATAAAATCTCTGGATTTGTCTTTCCACATGGTAGTATTTTTCTTAATACTAGACAGCACTTCAAACAAGTTTCTTGGTTTTTTTTTATGGAGTGTTTTATTATCATTGGACTTGGCCTGTAGATCATAGTGTGACTTCTCTGAGATGCAGCCTGTAATACATTAACTACATGGAAGAGAAACCTGCCGTTTGCAGGCAGTGTAATTCTCTGGTGGCAGGGGCTTTCTGTGTGGCTCTGAAAGGTTTTACATGTAATTCTTCACAGACGACAATGGCTGTGGTAAAGCAGCGCAACTAATGGTTTTCAAACTAATCTTAAAGGAATTATGTAAGAAAGTAGAACATAAGCATTGCTGCAGCTGTAATAGATTCCCCAATACCTGGTTGCTTGTCACTTTGGTTCTCTGGTTATACAAGGTTTGATTTTTTTTCTTCAGAGAATATCCTTCATGTCCAGGAGCCTTATTTTTCAGGCGTTGTACCCAGCAGAGGTGTGCCTGGAGCACCTCTTCTCCCACTCCATCCACTGGCTGCTGGGTCACAGCAGCAGCAATGTGGGTGTCTCTGCCTTTGGTTTCCTGGGTGGTGAACAAGCAGCAGTCCTCGCCACACCAGAGGATTTATACAAGGTGTTTACTTTTGGGAAAAAAAGTGTTACTTCCAGGCATCTGACTGTGCTCACTGGTTTGTTTCCTTGCAGCAAATTACTGTGGTTTCAGAGCATCTGCGCTCAGGGTCTTGAAAGCGAGGAGAAATTCTGTGGTTCAGTTTTTAAAGTTCTCTTTAGTTGCACCTATTTCAGAGCACAAATGCAATTTCACAAAGCAGCTGCTCTTATTGAGGCAGTTTCTGATCAGTTCTGATGCCTCCAGAAATCAGGCTAAGTACTTATTAGCTGGTGGAGGTAGAGTTTTCTCTGCTAAAGTGGCCCTGTCCCTCATCACCACCTGCCCTGATGCCATCCCCAAGGCGGGTGCTTTGAGGACAGATCGATGTCCAGTTCAGTCTTGGAGAGGAGAAAATGGAAAGAGGAGGTGTTAGAGGTCTTCAAACATGTAAAGATTGCTGCAGCAAGGGAACAAAGTTTTCTCTGCATCCTCTGTGGGCAGGTCAAGGCTTACCTTATAGCGGGAGATACATTGGACATCAGGAAATTAATTTTTGCATGTTAAAGAATATTAATTGGTTTGATTGTTGAGGGAAAAATGAGTTTGCTGCAGTAGGTGAAATTAATTTTTGCATGTTAAAGAATATTAAACAATTGGTTTGATTGAGGGAAAAATGAGTTTGCTGTGGTAGGTATTTCATAGGGCAGAGAATGGACTAACTGGCCTCCCAGCATCTCTGCCAGGCCTCCTGGCTGACTCCTGCTTTGCAATTGTAAAGGTAGTAACTTTTATAAGCAGCTGGATATCTCAAAGTGAATTTGTAACCAAAGATCTTCCAGCCCATCAATATAAAGTTTTGTTTTTTTTTCTTTGGATAAGTTAATTATTCTTTACAAGAAAACAAAACAAAAAAACCCACAGATTAAAATTGATGTCTAGAAAGCTGTTGGGTTTGGATGAAAGCAGAGCCTCAGACACTGAAATGTATTTCATAACCAGTGATCAGTCATTGAATGTGCCAAACAAATATAAGCGCATCAAAAAAGTCTTTCATGCAGCAAGACATAATTTAAAATAAATGGGCTTTTTCGTTCGAACATATGTTTTGCTTTGGAATTGGCCTGAGACATTTTCAAACAAGGCCAGTTCTCCTTCAAACAGGAGAAACACCAACCTATTTCCCTTTCTGCCTTTGTGCTGTGGCTCAGAGGCTTTCCCTTGGTTTATTCACCAAGAGAATGAGGTTTCGTGAGGGAAGTTGGGCAGATTTTTGGCTGCAGCGCAGCAAGGGAGTAAGGCTGCAGGAATGTCACCACCCTGCATGCAGGTCTCTCCAAAACTGCATCCCTGGAGGTGAAATTCTGCCCTAGTGCAGAACCAAAACGGTTTTAGGAGTCCTTGCAGTGTTTCAAGATAGTTACAAGGTCTGACGTGTAGCTGTGAAATATCAGGAGCTTCCATTGAACAAATGGGAATTTTGCTTGTGTTAAGTGTGGGTCACAGACCCGGAGCAGCCCTTGCTTTCTCTTTGGCTGGGGGTCGTGTCTCCCCAATGCTGTTTGCAGCCTGTCTGCCCGGCAGCCCTGTCCTTTCACTAGGGGATAGAGGTGCACCAGATGTACAAAAGCACTTGGCAAATAGAGAATGTCTTTAAACCCAACATCTTTTAAATGCAAATGAAATCTAGTGTTAGCTTCTTTTTCCTTTCGGTAGGAGTAATTGGAGCTAAGGTTTTATACGAAGTAGTAATATATGCATAAAATCAATTAAGTTCTAGGAATGCTATCAACTTTTCTCTAAACCCCAGTCATTCGGTCCCAAACAGCAAGAGAAGTGGATGAAAGTGACAGCTGAAAAATAAGAGAAAGGAACAAGGTACAAATATTTAGCTCCTGCTACTTACTCTTACTATGCTAGGAAATAACATTGTGAGTAGGTTCATAAAGGCTGAGTTCTGTATCCACTCTATCAGTTGGACTTTTAAACTACAAACCTACTCTTGATTTAAGTGTAAAGGCCTGTCTTGCTGTAGGAATCACCAACCAAAATTCACACCCTGTGTTGGCAGGAAGCCAGAGTTAGGTGGTCATGATCTTCAGGTTTACAGGGCAAATATCCCCAAGCAGCACGTAGAAACACATGCTTAAGGTACTGCTGTAATTGTAACTTGGTTGGTTGTTGACTCTTGCCCTTCCTGTCCATGATCCTTGTTTACATTAGCTTCTGATCCAGCAAACCCTTGTTCTAAATGACTCTATTTTCTGATAGAATGTGGACCCTGACAGATTTATATAGTGCTACTTAGAAAGCAACCCAAATTTAGAATCTTAAAATGGTTAAGTTGTTACAGAGCAATATCAGCTTCTTTGGTTGTCTGGTGTTTGTTTGCTTGCTTGTTTTGAAAAGCAGAAACTCTGAATGTTATTTAGGAACCAATAAGCCAGATCAAACTACTGTTCTCTTTGATAAATGTGATTTTTTTTTTTTTGAGGCTGTTTTGAGCTGTCTCCAAGATGCACATGTCCTCCATGCCGTTGCTACAAATGCCTTTTGCTTATGGCTTTTTCTCCCCTTTCCCTTTGGCTTGTTTGTTTGCAGAAAAAAATGGACAGTCGGGAATACCAGGATGCACAAGGTTTTGCAGCAGATATTCGGTTAATGTTCTCTAATTGTTACAAGTACAATCCTCCAGACCACGAAGTGGTAGCCATGGCCAGGAAGCTCCAGGTAAAGGTGTTGGCAAATGCATCTTAGTTTAGTTCAGCTACAAGGGGTCAGTTCAGAGATCCAAGCGTGGATCTGCTCTTGGCACCAACAAGGGAGAGTCAGTGATTCCTCCAGCCCTTGGGAAGAGCCACGTTCTCTGCTGCAGAACTGTTGTGCTCTTCACATGGCATGGCCCAATGCCACATTCTGCTCCTAAAATACCTAAAATGTTATAATCCTTGCTGTATAAAGTAATGGGAGAATTTTCTTGGGCTTACAGAATATGTCTGCCCATCTGTACATTATTATTGTACAGCACTCTGTGTAGTGCAGTAAGACCTTGGCCCACGGTGGGGTGTTTGGTGTGTTTAAAAGGCCAGAGTGAGGTCTTTGTGGCATTTATAACCAGTTTTTCCCCCTTTTTGTAGGATGTCTTTGAGATGAGGTTTGCAAAAATGCCCGATGAGCCTGCAGAGGCCCCACCTCCACCTCCCCCAACAGCACCAGTGGTGAGCAAAAGCACAGAGAGCAGTCACAGCAGCGAGGAGAGCTCCTCCGACTCGGATAGCTCGGACTCGGAAGAAGAGCGAGCAACACGGCTGGCAGAGCTCCAGGAGCAGGTATGGCAACAGCCAGGCTGTGTCTCCATGTCTGTGCAGTAGAAGGGGTTTAATTTTGTTCTTAAAAATCCCCTCGAGGCTGTGATGTGGCAAAGCAATCTCCCCTTCTGCCAGCTAAAGGGGGAAAATGCTCAGCCGTGAAATAAGTGCATGTTAGATTTTATGTTAATTCTCTTCAAGGTAGCAGTTTTCGGTACTGATGCTCTATGATTCCTTCTAGAGCACAAATGAAGGTGCAGACAATACTAGGGGTCTGGGGAGAACAGAGACCCTGTTTTGTATGAGAGCTCAGGCATAGTGAGATCTGGCACAAGCTTCCTGTGGGATAGTGTCCCCCTGTACCCCCTCTGTAGAACTGAGTTGTTTTGACTGTTGTGTTGCAGACAATTAAGCTACGTCCTTTCTTATGCAGACACACAATGCCAGATGCTACAGTGCTTCCATGTGCAACCATAACATAACAAAGCATTAATAAAATAGCTTATCTGGTGTCTCAAATCAAGCCAGTAGGGGAGCCAAGAAGTTAACCCAGGATTCCAGAGGCCAGGTTGTCAGCACTCTAGATGGAGCTATGAAGCTTAGTTTTTATTTGCCTATATAAAGCAAGAATGATGTTTTCATTTGAGTCAACTTCTGCATCCTTGAACTGCATTTTTTTTAAAAGAATTTCAAATGAAAGTCTTCTGAGTTCATTTGAAGTCTCCTGAGATGAAGTCTGCTTGATCACTGACTTTGGGGTATACTTACACATTGAGATCTAGAGGAAGGGTTTGCAGAGGCATCAGTTATCTTGCCTTGAAGTCTGATTTGTTTTTTCCCTGTTCTCCCCCAGCTAAAGGCCGTCCACGAGCAGCTCGCTGCGTTGTCGCAAGCGCCAGTGAACAAACCAAAGAAAAAAAAAGAGAAGAAGGAAAAAGAGAAGAAAAAGAAAGATAAAGAGAAGGAAAAAGAAAAGCACAAAGTAAAACCTGAGGAAGACAAGAAACCCAAGGTGGCCCAACCACCAAAACAAACCCAACAGAAGAAAGCCCCAGCTAAGAAAGCAAACAGCACAACCACAGCTAACAGGTAGGGAGGTTGCCTTAAGGGGAATGCCAAGAGCTTCCAGCCCAGTTTTCCTGTCCCTCTTGAATTCCTGGTGAAGCTCAGTTGTCAGAGCAGTTAATTTGCTGTTGAATAGTGTCCCCATTCCCAGACAACTCCAGGGAGTCTTTAAGTGAGAGCTGGCAGTGAAACTGTCATATTTCCACTGTCCAACTCTCTCAGAATCCCTGCCTGATCACTCTCAGATAAGGTTTTGCTTTCTGCCTTTTGCACAGCCAGCAAGAACGTGCCGTTTCATTGCTGCCCTCCTGCTGCTACATAGGCTGGTTGTTGTGCCTCACAGGGCTAAGATATAATGGGAGTAGAACAGCTGATCTCAGATTTCTGAACTTTTTCAGAAATTGTGGTGCTGTTGAAGCCATCTGGCTGGAGGTTCAAAGCCAAGAGCATTGGGATGTTTGTTACAAGGTGGGGGGTAGAAAAAAAGAGTTCATTGCTTCTCTATACCCATGAATGTTTCTGTGCTTGCCAACCCCCTCAGGCAGCCCAAGAAAGGAGGCAAACAGGCATCTGCAACCTACGATTCGGACGAGGAGGAGGAAGGTCTGCCCATGACCTATGATGAGAAACGACAGCTCAGCTTGGACATCAACCGCCTGCCCGGGGAGAAGCTCGGCAGGGTGGTGCACATCATCCAGTCCCGGGAACCTTCCCTCAGAGACTCCAATCCCGACGAGATAGAAATAGATTTTGAAACATTGAAGCCCACAACTTTACGAGAACTGGAGAGATACGTGAAATCTTGTTTACAGAAAAAACAAAGGAAACCCTTTTGTAAGTTACCTCCTGGGGCACGTGTTCCTCTACCAGCTCTTAGGCTCAGCTTTGGAGTCAGGGCGTGTGTGTTGGAATTCTCTTACCCAGCTCTTGGGTATGTGATAACAGAGAGATTCTTTTCTCTCAAGGAAATGTACAGAAACTTTCTATTTTTCTTGTTCTTTCTTCCCATGGTGTCATGCCATGGAGACCTAGAGGACTATTGTGTTCCTCTACAAGACCCATGTGATAGCTTTATTACTTATCTAGAATCTAGAAGGCACTGTAAAGGTGTCAGTCTCGTTGTCTTAGGTATTATGTGCACACATCTGGAAGGATCACTTTCTTATCCTGAATAGTTTAGCATCTAATTAGGAAGGAAATGAAAAGCATTGTTGGGATCTGAAACACCAAGGGAATAAATAACTTGAACAAAGTTACGTGGGCAACCTGTGGATTCTGGGTGTGAGTTGTATATTCACCCCAAAACTGCTCTTCCTAGATAACCCGATCACCGTATTACCCTCAGCCTCTATCAGATCAGAGGATTAATTAATGTTAATGCGCTGACGAATGTACAGCTCAGTGTGGGGACAGCCTTTTCTCTGTGCCACATCCACAGAGTGAATTGTTGTGGCCCCTTGAGAGTTTAGCTCCAGCTGAATAGCAGTGGGGTCACTTACCTGCCGTGGTCCTGGCTCAGTCCTTCTGCTTGTCGGTTAAGAGGGAATTGTGCTGTGGGGAGTATAACACAGCAGCCACTCGCAGCTCTTGCAGGGCACCTCCATTTCCTCACCACAGAGCTTTCAGGTAGGCCTGAGCAAAGCTCAGACTTTCCATGCTGGAAAGTGGTTCTGAGGAGAAAGAGGAGATCTGGGGGTCTTGGTAGATAGTAAATTATCCATGAGCCAGCAATGTGCCCTTGTCACCAAGAGGGCCAATGGAATCCTGGGCTATGCAGGGAAGAGTGTGGCCAGGAGGTAAAGTCATTCTGCCCCTCTGCTCTGCACTGGGGAGGCCACAACTGGAATACTGTGTCCAGTTCTGGGCTCCCCAGTTCAAGAAAGACAGGGAACTGCTGGAGAGAGTCCAGCGTAGGGCAACAAAGGTGATGGAGGGATTGGAGCATCTCCCTGATGAGGAAAGGCTGAGAGAGCTGGGACTCTTTAGCCTGGAGAAGAGAAGGCTGAGGGGAGACCTTATTAATGCTGACAAGGATCTAAAGGGTGGGTTGAAGGAGGATGGAGCCAGACTCTTTTCAGTGGTTCCCAGTGACAGGATGAGGGGCAACGGGCACAAGCTGGAACATGGGAAGCTCCATTCAAATATGAGGAAAAAAACTTCTCTCTGGTGAGGGCGGCAGAGCCCTGGCACAGGCTGCCCAGGGAGGGTGTGGAGTCCCCTTCTCTGGAGATCTTCAAGCCCCACCTGGATGCTCCTGAGTGATGTGCTCTGGGCAGCCCTGCTTTGGCAGGGGAGTTGGACTGGATGGTCTCTAGAAGGTCCCTTCCAACTCTGACAATTCCGTGATTCCGTGACCCTTCTTTTTGGTTTGTAATACACTGCTTTGATTATTATTTTTTTCTCCTGAGTCCTTTGTTGGAATTTTGGTTTGTAATACACTGCTTTGATTATTTTTTTTTTTTCCCGAGTCCTTTGCTGTTTGGAGTAGCTCAGGAAAAGATTTTCCAGAGTGGTTAAGAACATGAAGCATTATTATTTTTTTTTTTGGAACCGAAGCATAGAGTACTGCAGATAACCTCAGATGTCTGTCCGTCTGCTCCTCCGAGACTGGTACACACTGGGCTGGCAGACTGGTGTGCCTGACCCCAGCTGCACCTTCCTGCTGCCTGCTCTCATTGCAATGCTTAGTTTTCAGGGGCACACCCTCTTAGGAGTGTGCTTTCCAGATTATTATTTTTTTTTAATGTAAAATCATTGCTTTAAACCAGCACACAGACATGTAGGTATTTCCTTGCTGGATCAGACAAAATGTCTGGCCCCTGCCTTGTGCTCCTGATACTGGCCAACACCTGTGTTCAATTACCCCTCCTTCAGAGGGATAGTCCTTCTGCTCAGAAGTTTGGGCGTTGCTGGTACTTCTCACTGTTTCCATCCGAACGGATGCAGGTACATTCCTGTTGTCTGCCAGCCTTTGCCTCTGTTGGTTTTTAATTTGTCCCTTTTATTTTATATTTAAAGCAACATAAACCAGAGTAGATTCTGCATGAGGAGTTATAAAGGCAGATGCTTCCTTTTGACAACCTTTAATGGGACACTTTATTTTACAGGGCAGAAAAGCCATGTAACAATTCTGTAATTACAAATGTGTAACTATTGAGCGTATAACTGGCTGGTAAGTAACCTGGAACTACAAGGTTATTACACGGGCATTTCTATCTTCTGAAATACTTTCCAGAAGGTCTCTCTTTAGAGAAGTGCATGTTACAGGATGATGGCAACTGGATGATTGAGACAACTTCATGTGTTGTCCTCTATCTGGGATGTGTAGTTGTTTTGTGGTCACTTGATCTTAGCAGCTTCACTGCAGAGTGGTTGCACAGATTTACATGCCCTGTAAAATAGCGATGTCCGTTCTTTTTTGCCTGCATCCGTGCAGTTTCAGAAATTGTACGTTCCTCCTCCCCAGCTGCAGGTGGAAAAAAGCAAGCAGCAAAGTCAAAAGAAGAGTTAGCTCAGGAAAAGAAGAAAGAACTAGAAAAACGGTTACAGGACGTCAGTGGGCAGCTAAACAACAACAAGAAACCTGCAAAGAAAGGTAATGGCTTTGGTCTTACTGTGCTAACAATGCTCAAAGGGTTGTGTTTGTAGATGAACTTCTTCAGTGAGGTAAAACTACTGCCTCCTTGTGCAGTAGAAGAACCTGCCTTGGGTTTTCTCTGTGACAAATACTGCAGTTGGTCACTGGTGTTGGGGCACAGCGAGTTGCTGGTGGGCACTGGGCTACTGTGGGCAGGCTGCTTTGGAAGGTCAAGGTGGAAGCTCTCCTGGGTGGTAAATGTGAGGTGTCTTGGAGGGAGTTCATCCCTCCAAGGGAGGAGGATCTTCTCTACATTAGTCTGGCCAGCACTGTGGAGCATCTAACACATCATTTTTGTCCTTTGTGGGATTAAAAAAAGCCCAAGCCCCCAGATAGTGCAATAGTGTGGAAGATGGTACAAAAGGTTCTTCCAGAGCGCAAACTAAGCTTCTTCCAGCTTTGCACAAGTCAGGCTGGTTCAGAGGTTGCACTGAAGCCTGGGAGGCTGGGGACACGGCTTCCCAGGTGCTCTGCAGCATCTCACTTCAGGGCTGCAGAAGACATGGACCTCTGGCATGGCTCCTGTGCAGATCCCAAACTTTCGTGGTCACCTGCAGCCTGAGAAACCTTGTTGTCCACTGACAGGACAGTTGTTGCAGCGGGCAAAGGCTGGGGGGGAAAATAAAGGTGCCCAGGCAAGAGGAAGCTGTGAATGAAGCCATGGATGGAGGCTGTGGGCCAACCTTCCCTAGTTCAGTTCCTTGTAGGTAACCCCATTCATTGTTCCCTTCTTCCCCACAGAGAAATCCGGCTCCGCTCCCTCCGGAGGCCCTTCCCGCCTCAGCAGCAGCAGCTCCTCCGAGTCCGGGAGCAGCAGCTCCAGCGGCTCCAGCTCGGACAGCAGCGACTCGGAATGACTTACGGACACTTACACACACAAAATGGACATCACCCTCACCGATGCTCTGCAGTGTTCCTTTTTCTTCTTAATATACTGCTCTTGTTCCACGGTGGTCAGGTTTTTTTTTTTTTTCCCCTTTCTCTTTCTCTGACTTTTTTTTTTTATTTTATTTTTTAATTCAGTGTTATAAAAAGGTATCTTCCATTTTTTTTGGGGGTCGCTCTTTTAATAGGTCAAAGATCTTTGCGTGTGCGTGCGTGTGACAAGACTTTATGACAAAACAGTTCCCTTTGCATAAAGTCTCTAAAATACATTTTAACTGAAGAAGATTGGTTGAAAATGGAAGAACTTCGAACTCTTAGCAGGAGATAAATAGAAAGTTCTGCAAGGTTTGTAGTACGTTTCCCTCCCACCCCTTCCCTCTCCCCAAAATGTTCTCTTTTAATAAGCCTGCCTGGCTCACACAAGGTAAAAAAAAATAATCTTTTTTTAAAGAAAACTCTGTAAAATGGTACTGTATCTGAAAGATGTTAGCTTTTGAACTAGTTGGTGTATTTGTTATTAGCACTAGTATTCTTAATCTCGAAGTCTACAGTGTGATGAAAATGCCAGATGCTATCATCTTTTTACATAAAAACAAAAAAAAACCCAAAAAAATTCTCATGTACTGTGGATTGCTAACATGCTTTTTTTTTTTAAATCTTGGTAGAGGCATAGGCACCTGTTCAGGAAGGTATTTAAGCATGAACTTAACTTTAGGCACATGAGCAATAGAAGTGGTTGCATTTCTTGTTTTTCCACTCAAAATTTTTCATTTTTCTCGGGGGACGCATTGGGAAGGCGGGAGCAAGGGACACTCAAGTTTCTTGGGAATGTTATTTTTTAACATCAAATAGATAATTTCCAGGAAATTGACGCTCTCTATGAAATTTTTTTCATTTAATTGAAAACCAGTTTTTTGGCTGGAAGTTCTCAGCCGGGCCTGGGAGTGATCCCTGCAGAGTGACCAAGGCATGTCATGTGCTGGTTATTAGACACTTGCTTAAGTGCTTTCTCCATGACAAGCACCTCTGTCTGGGCTTAAAATAAAGGAGCACTCGAGCTCCAGCTGAGGCTGAGCTGGCAGCGGATCTGGGGAGGGATGTTGTGTGTGTTTGGGGTTGTTGTTTTTTTCTTTT